AGGCATGTATTTGCTGACAGAGTATTTGCAACTTTATCCTGTGCCAGTTGCGTTAATGAAGATACCATCACCCTCCAGAGTATTTGTCATGGCATAGATATCAGCTTGGAATTTATGAAGTTACAGCTTGCTGTCTGAGCATTTCGATAGGCCTGTCATTACTGTGTTTTGCAAGCTGCTTTAACCATACTACTTAAAAAAAAAAAAAAAAAAACCAAACAAAAACCAGACCTGTTTTGAGTAACTATCTCTAAACAGTCATTAAGCCGTCCGTGCTCTGCTTTTCTGGAAGTAACTGAGTGCTTCAATAGGAGTGAGCACAAACTAGCCTTTGTTCTTTATCCCTTCTAGCACAGTTGGAGAGCAGAAGTAATTCTCACTGGATACCTGTCTTCAGTAGATTTTACAATCATTAGACTCTATCCTTGTGCCTAGTGGCTTCATCAAGACTGTAAATTTGAACAACAAGATTTGGCATTAAAATGCCAAGAGGTTCTCTTTTTATTCAATTTACCCATTATGCTTTGGTGAGTGTTAATGCCTTTTAGATTTGAAAGGTGGTGTCCACTGTTTATCAAATAATCCTTTATCAAGCACTCTGACTCTCATGACAGTGCTGTGACAATCGTATGTTGCCTGTCCAGAAGGGGAAAACTTGCTTTAATTTTGAGCCAGCTGTGTGTTTGACTGTGGTTGGGGCTGCGTATCATCTGCAGCCTGTCCATCAATTGATTTGGCAGTGAGCTAATTTAGCAAGGCCTGCTATGCCAACTATGTTGTATAAGCTCTAGCACCTTCATAACAGAGGGTGGGAAAAAAGCAGATAGCAGAAGCCTGAAAAATCGTGTCATTTTTGCAGTAGAATTCATATGACTGCTCTGACTTTGCTGATTTGCAAGTCGTCTGGAAATGGTTTACATTTTGTTTGTATTTCAGTAGGTACTGGGAGTGATGGGAGGAAAAATGCTAAATCATAGGTGAAATCTCATGTTTAATCTGTAAACCTTTTCTTGAAAGTACTTTCAAAAGCTAGAGCTTATCAAACCATTTTTCCATGATGTGGAACATTCCTTCTGAACACTCAAGATTAATTTGAGAGTAGTACATGTAATAAGCTGTTTCTGAAACTTTGTGTGTCCTTGCATTCTGAACATTCATATCTTACGCTGTTATCCAGTGTCCTTGAATGCTAAAGTTCTTGAAACTGAAGAACATTGTATTTTGCATTTTTGTGGGTCACTTTGTGCTATGTTTTTCTCTAAACAAATTGCTCCAACATAAAATACTTCCTTTTTTGCTTCAAAACATTTGAAGCAAGTGGGTTTGCTTTCATTTACAGTTTTTCAGTTTAAGCTGATTCTCATGATGCATGTTAGGTTAGGCTCAGATGAAGTTTCTGTCGAAAGGTGTCCCTAAGACAGGAAAAAGTAGGCAAAATCAGTAACAACAATATGTTATTTCATTGAGTATCATGTTTTTTTCCAGTCATTGCTCCACTGGCAACTCAAAAGAACGTTGCTGGTTGCCATTTTAGATTAAACTTGTGTTTAGAAGCACAGTTGCACAGTCATATACATCTGACATGGAAGTATGGGCTGCTTTTGAAACCTCGATCAGACTGCTCCCTCTGTCTGTTAGTGCTTAGCAAAATCAATTTCCAGAGCTGATTGGTACAGCAGGTCCTGGCCGTTGTTTGTGTGAGGGACGTGGTTATGGTGGGGGGCAGGACTTTTGACTTTTGGCAGCAGTCCACTGGTGTGTTTTTATGGCTGTGGAAGACCCCCTGAGGCTCAGGACGCTTGGGCTGGACTTTCCGCCCTGGTGCTTTGCTTTTCTGAAGCTCAGCTTTATAGATGCAAGATCTGTTTTATCCCTGTTTATTTAAGCATGCTATTAATAAGGAATAACTCTACCCGGTTCACAGTGATTCTTTCCATAACGTGGAGAGTTGAATGTGTATTAGTTGTCTTGTGGAGCTGAATTAATGACATTTAAAAAGCTACATAATATTTGCAGTGTTGCAGTTGTGTTTTCTCGCTATGTGCAAGTTTAAATGTTCGGTGAAATGGCAAAGTTGGTTTCTGTGTGACTTAACTGTTTCTTTTTAAAGCTTACTTTTGTTGCTTTCTTGAAGTCTGTTGCTTTATTATTTTGTTTGTGTATCAGTGTTGTTATATTACTAGATTGTTACTGTAAGTCAAATTTATCACTTTTAAGTTTTGTGAAAGGAATCGGCACACACGCATCATTACAAGTGACAAATTTGATGTATACTTTGAAAGTTAAATCTAAAGTCACCAGCTCAGCATTTGTTACTTTGCAGCCTATGTGCTGTTTGGCTGTTACTCAATTTTCATTTAACTTACTGGTGAAAATACTTAAGAGCAGTAGACTGTGTCCTTAAAATGTAGTGATCTCTAAGGTGAGTTTAAAAATCCTTTCCTGAACAGTCAACCATGTGCTGAATCTCGGGACCATTTTCAACGAGTTAACATGTGCTTGTTGCTTTTGGTGCTGGATGGCAAGAAAAAAAGCTGTCACATTGGCACGTTTGTTGCTCTCTGTTTTGCTAGAAGGAGATGGAGGAGGGGATCCAAGCACTGAATTCCTGACAGCGTTTAAGCCGGAGCAGTCCAATGGTGGCATTTGATCAGCTTCTCTGCAGTCTGTTGTTTTTTCTGGGAGGATGTCGGCAGCAGCTGCTCGAGCTGTCTAAATGCCACTTCCCCACACTTGTTCACAGCCCATCCCAGGGGGTCGGGACTGCTGCTGCCTAAGGAGTAAAGGGCAGAGGGGCAGCGGTGTCCGAGGGTGAAAGTCCGGCTCTGTGATAGGTAATGGCAGCAGTTAGCCAGCCCCAGCCTTCTCCTTCAGCCTGTGCTCTAGCAGCTGGGAAGGCTGGTTGTGGTTGGAAAGGGATGGGTGGCTGCTTGCTCAGAAAATAGCCTGCAGTCTCAAACGCGGAGTTTTCCCTTGCAGATGCCAAGTAGGGAGTACTGTGATTAAGCATTTAGGCTCTGAGCAGTCTGGGTGTGCCCTCGAGGTCTCCTAAGAATTCGGCTCACTGTCTGGCATCTTCTGCTGAGAGCGGAGATCTGTGCTGTGGTAGCGTTTGTCCCTGGACTCTTCACTGGCACTGATAATGTCTGAGACACCCTGCTCCACCCCAAACGGTGGGAGCATTCTAGTTTGGGGTTTCTGTATTAGTAATGTGACTGTTGAAAGCGAGTGCTTATGCTTGCATAGATAGAATTTCTAAGTAAGCTAATGCCCAGTCTGT